ATTATGGTAGGTACTTTATATTGGGTTTCATTGGTGCAGCATAAGACTCCAGTTAGAGAAAATGGAGTTATAAAAAGAATCCTACCCATTCAGTCCTAGAGATAAAATGCCACCTATTTTTACACTTTTGAATCTGCTTGCCACTGTCTTCAATTAATTAATTGATGCTTCCTGATTCATGCCCCAAGATCCTCTACTACTTTTGAATAAGGACTAGGCACATAATGTTTTTCCCGATATATTTCGTTTTTGCTTCTGAAAGACATCTCTTTGCTTGATATTGGCAGTGTGAACTGTTTGATGGGGTAGCATTTATAAACGTTATCATTTAGAACTTACACATCTGGCTGAAAACAATAGTTCACGCTTTCTCATAGAAGTGTTTCCAAGGCTAAAAAACTTCCGTGGCATTTCTAGTTTTCTGTTTCCTAGAAAAATAATAATAAAAAAGAAAATCCTAGATATTACTGAAACAGCTTGTATTCTACTTCTCCTCTTTCATCAGTATTTATTATTTGTCATTGTCTTCACAAAATTAGGCCAACATGTTGCCATATTTGGACACATCTTTAAAGTAGCACTGAATGTTAAAAAGAGAAGAATTATAAAAGAAACCACATCTGAAACTATGTCCTTTTGGTTTCTGGATTTGAAAAAGTGTCAAGAAAAATAAAGGTGGTCTGAATAACTTTGGAAATAAATTGAAGATTCTGGATTATTAGGTTGTCTTAGGTAAACAGACATTTTTATGTTCAGCTGTGGTTTTTTAAAGGAAAGAAATGCAATTGCATAAAAATATGCAAAAGACATGTTAGGGCAGCTACATAACCTAATGCTGGTAGATAGGCTGATTGTGAGGTGGGCAACATTACACAAGTGTGTAGGGATATTTCTTAGTATAGTGGGAGTCTCTCTGAGTCATCCTGACGCCACACCGAAGTCAAACTGAGGTGTGCACCAGCTCTTCCCCACACATCTCCATCAGACTATTTTTGATAAAAAAAAAGAAATGGGGTGTTCAACCAAGACACTGCTCATTTAAAGAAAACCAAATCCAAAGCCAGAAACATACATAATGTGAGTGTGTTTTCTATATAGCAAGACTGAACACTTACTGGCTCTTAATAATTTGATATTAGCCAGGTTATTCTCCACAGAGTGACATGAGAATCAGTTGAGTATAGACGTGTTTTGGCCCTGAGCTAAAGTCTTGAGCAACAAACAGAACTCAAGGGCTCTCAAGTTTTCCTTGGTTATTATCATGACCATTCATTCAGAGGGTTATGGAAATTTGAGCTGCACTACCTTTTGGTATTTCCATGAAGCACAGTCGTACTCCATACAGTTGGTTAAAGGATTCTGTGTGAATTACAGTGAACCTCAAAAGTTGCTACAGATAGACTGGTCATCCCGCAGGGACTCCGGAAATACCATTAGGGAACTGTCCAACTAAAATTTCTCCCGTGAAGAGTGTTTCAGTATGGTGTCCCTCTCAGAGCTGTTACCTGGTGTAGACAGAAAGAGCAGGCTGAGAACTGGCCATAGGTGTGCTGAGGGAGAGAGTGTAACTTCCTGCTCTGGGCTATGCCTTTCTCTCTCTGTCTAATCCTGCAAGAAACATTTGTTCTTTAGGTCAGGCAATTGAGGTACATTCAGCTCCTAAAGATGGCTAAGAAGGGAATGGATACATGAGGAAAACCAAACCTCGTTTTCATTTAACTGACTAATAGAACCCACTGCCTGCCTTAAAAGTGCAAACCCTGGGTGTTGACCCATGCTGGATTGAACATTAGAAAGATAGAAAGGCCACTGGAGATAGGAAAGATGGGAAGGCTATAAGTTTGGCACTTAGCTCAAGTATTCGGTTTCCCTCTGTCCATGAATTCTTCTGATCTTCCTTGGTCAGAGATATCTCTTTTCGAAAACCTTTCATAACTTTCAGGTGAATGTTGATGTGAAAGAGGTCTACCTGTGTGTCAGTCAAAACATGAGAAATTTGAAGGAAGACTTCAATATTGTTCAGTCTTAATATGAAGAGTTCTTTGCACACTGTTGGACATTTTGCCACAAAACATATATTCTGCTTTCTTATAGGGATGTGTATGTAGTGGAAACTGTCTTTTTATCTGAGTTTTCCTTTGATAATACATTTACTATTCCATTTTTTTGCCATTTTACTTCTACCCCTTTTTGACTCTGTCTATGTTCCCCTGCTTAATAATGTGCTCAATGTTTCTGTCCACTGCATCGTTTACAATGAGACCTTTCATTAATATCCTGTTAGATACCTTGCATGAATACCTAGAGATGAGCAACAGAGGTAGCTGAAAGAGCACACAGGCAATTCCAAGGCAGAAGTGATGTATGACAAAGCGTCTCCACTCTGCTTATGTAATTGTCTGAATCTTGATTTAAGTTTCCACTGCTGCCAGAAATGAATTATGCCATAAAATCTGTGCTCTTCCCATTTGAACTCTGGATTGCCATTAGTGATGATTTGTGCCAGATATCATTAAAATTATGCATAAAAAATATAAACTATCTGCAAAGTATTCACAAGCTTACAGTTCCAGACCATTTTTTTGGTCTTCCCAAGCTTTCTGTGTTTTTCATGTATAGAAAAAAAATCCTTGTCTTGGCTCCTTGAAACTACTTTGAGGATTTTTTTCCCAATTTATTTACCTTTTCTTCAAAAATGGGCAAGTTATTTAGGAGCTCATGTCTTATTTAAAAACCAAGTGAATTTGGTGCCCAAGCTCTTTAGCAAATCTTGGCCTGAGAGCAACTGAGTTAAGTGCACTTGAAATATGTGACTATTACTGGAAGTGGGAATAGCCAGTACTTCAGAACACTTGTTGATAAGTGTTATTTCTATGATGTATTTAATTCAGTAGAAATGTGACTGCTAGCCTTGATTTTAACCAGTTATCTTGTAGGCAGATATTATACAAATTTCTCTACACAAGATCTACTAATGCATCTTAGTTTGAATTTGTAAATCTGCCAAGTTTCACTCATTCAGAGAGAGGCTTCCTCATTTGGGATTAATTTTAAGACTCTCTTAAAAAGTGTCTCAACTTGTGATGAAACATTTTGCTGTATGTGAATGAGATGTATAAAATCTCATTCTAAAGGCCAAATTCATCTCTGGTGTACCTTCTGGGGAATTCCCATGATGCTTTGAAATCTTCCTCATTCAGATGATCACAGCTCAAGGACTCTGAACACTCCTTCAGTTTGATCCCTGTGCATTTTGCACAGAGTGCCAGTCATACAGTAGTTTTCTGAAATGTTCATATGGAGTGAGAGATGAGGTAGTCACAGATCATTTTCATTTTAGCCTAAGCCAGGATGAAAACTCTACTGATGAAGTGAATTTGACATACAGCTTAGCTATTCATACATAAGAATAATATACATTTTACAACATATATAAACACATAAAAATAGTAAAACTTCCCATTTTTCTTTGTTCCTTTCTCCAAAATAAACATATTAAGAAAGTAGCTAGTGAAAGGAGCTGCTGCTGGTGTAAAGCCTTTATATATATCATAACTAAGACATCCACCTGCCTTTTTGAACACAATAAATTACCAGCAACAAAACCAAACAGAAAACAAAAATCAAAAAACAAGCCCCAAACAGATCATGTTTGCTGATAATATTATTCAAGACTAAGGATTCCTTTTGTCTTCTGTGTGATACTAAAACACTCTCAGGCTGATAAAATCAACAAGGACAGGGCAATTGCCATTGCTCATTTTATGACCTGGGGCATTGCTCCAGTACCTCAGACTGCCTTGGCACCATTAGTCCCTAGACTACTCCTGCTGATCTTAAAGAGGCTTTTGTTGGTAATCAGTACAGACTCTGGAATCCCAGGACACCGCTGCTAGTTATGCTGAGCTAAAATCATAAGGAGTGCAAGCAATAACAAGCACCAAGGCCTGTGCTGACCCTTAGCAGCTGTTTATATCCAATCATAACTGAGCAAATGACTTTCCAAACGAAAAGGCATGTTTTTGGAACTGATAATAAATCAATCTTTAAAGAATGAGAAATAATTATTAGTTTTATTCTCTGTTAGGTTGTAAAAAAACCAAATAAGAACCCCTGCCTTAGAGCCAGACGGCTTTCACATATATAGAGAGATTTAAAGGGGTTGCACATCAAAAGGGGGCATTTTTAATAGTGCTCACATGACAGGCAAACACTACTGCATTTCTGAAAGTGATACACTCCAGCTTAATGAAAGGTAACTTTCAGAAAACCAACTAAATTGCCACCAAATCTCTGGCAATTAGTAAAAATAAAACTTCTAAGTTCTTAATGGGGCAAAGGAATAATAAATAACATAATTCTGATAGTGTGAATTTCAGTGTCAGGGACAACGTGGTAAAGCTGTTCTTACTTCAAAAAGTTTGAAGATAATTAATAACAGAAGAGATTTTTATAGCTGCAGGCAAGAGAAGGTAACAGTGCTCTGCATGAAGGGAGAGAGGACGTGCTGCTTCAGTGCCAAAAACCCCGTGCTGTCCTGCTCCTGGCTCCTCCCGGAAGCCTTGGTGGGAAGTTAGTGCCCATGCCTGGCCCACCAGCACGGCTTCTAACAGGCTCCAATGCTCCTTTCCCAGCTGATGCTTCAAGGGTCATTCTAGTGGGTGAGGAAGTGGGTGGACAGTCACCTGCGACCCCTTGATGACAGTAACTCTTTCCCGCCAAGTCTCTATATTCAGTATTTGCAGAAGTAGCTACTTCTCTTTCTCTTCCTATGCACCAGCTTTGTAAATTAATGGAGCTTATGAGGAACATAAGAGTGAAGGCAGGATTCATCTGTTTGAATTAGTTGTTTACATCTGTGCTGGCCAGTTTTTCTGAGAACAATTTGTCTCACCCTGAAGAAGATGATCTGTTCAAATGAGCTACAAAATGGAAGCATAGTCCTTTTGCTGACCTTGAAGGGAACTGATGGCGCCTACTCCAGGCATAGAGGTTTGTATGGCAGACATCTTGAGCTTAGGTGAAACAAAACCCCTCTAAGAGCCATCCTCATGTTTTCCTTTTGTTGGTTACGAGTCCTGGGTCAAGAAAAGGTTGGGAATATTAGACCAAGATGAGCAATATCAAGTTTGTAGCCATGGTGTTGTTTTGAACTTTTGCAGACAACTACCACACCCCTCTGATGTTTTCTTCATAACATACCAACTGCTGAGAGATTGGCACAACAGTGTAATATTAATAAAAGAAATCTGGTTTGAATTCCCTTAAAGTCAATGTTCTTGTAAATCTAATAAGTACTTGGATATTGATGTGCTAGTCCCCATCTGCAGAATTTAAAAATCTGAAATTCATTTAAGCCTTATAATTAATAAACAAAAGTCCTCAGACTAAAAATGTGAAAGACATCATTAGTTACACTATATTTTTATGGTGCTATTCCTAAAAGGATATTAAAGTGCTTCAAAAGTGGCCAGATCCCTTATTATAATGTTGTAAGAGGAATGTTTTTTATCACCATTCTACAGAGAAACCAAAGAAACTGCTGATACAGGCCGAATCTTGAAATGCTTGGATATTTGCTGTATTCCCATGCTCATTGTAGGACATGAAAAGATGAGAGAGACACCACAGCAGTGGTGCAGGTAGAGCAACCTAGTCTGTGGGTCCAATGCCAGGAACAAACACATACGACCTGTGCTTGTAGCTGAAGTCCAAGTGTGCAAAAGCTGCTTCAGGAATGCATTAGCAGATGCTTTCAGGGAGTCATTTAGCAAAGCAGCCCTGAAATGTATGCTTGCCTTAATAGGTTGGTGGAAGAGGTAAGGTAGAGGCAGGGAGCACTACTGGACACTCCAGTCATCAAGGAGAGTGGGCACATTTCCTTTCTTCCCGGCAAAATTTGCTGTGGACACTGTCAGGTGCCCAGTAATAATTAGGATATGCTAATTGGCAAATGAAGTATGCTACTGATCAGATGAAACCGATGATAATAAGATTGGCAGGGGTACAGGTACCCCTGACAGTTGAGTAGCAATAAACAATAGGAAGGAGAGGGTATGGGGAGGTGCCCAGCTGACCTCTCAGAAATCCTTCGTTTCCAAAAGCAAGATTGTAATTTAGAGGTACATGTGTGGGAGGTGTTGTGCTCCTCTATGGTAACCTGAATCCCTCTCATCTGGAGTTTGTCTGCAGAATAAAGGCATTGTCTCTAATGGGCATGAGCTGCCCTCATCTGCCCAGTGTGACTGGCTGGGAAAATCAGACATGTGGTAGCCATAGGAATATTTGGTATTTCAATTAAACCACTCAGGAAACACAAGCAGTCATGCGGTTTATTCTACTCATTGGTGCTATTACACATGTGCAATGGAAGGACTGATCTCTCCCAAGATAAAAAAAGTATTAATGGTCACAAATGGGTATTTTCTAAGAATGTTCCAAAATTTATTGACAGACTGGAGGCCCTTGTGTGTGGCCAAAGAAAGATTTGAGAGATACAAATAGGTAAGGCAAGTGGGAGGTACTGTGGTATTGTCATTTAACTTTGATATTACCTGTTGATATTTTCTACCTTAAAAAGCCCCAGTCCACCAAAAGAGTCTGTGAGCCCCAACAGTTTACACACCTTTGGGTGTATTAAAACAAATAAATAAGCCAACCAAACAAAAACAAACAAAACAACCCCAAAACCCCCACCCTAAACCCACAACATTTTTCTATTTGGATATTTTTCTACATTTTGTAGAATTAGCTGCAAATTACAGGTTTACTGTTGGACCTCTGGAGTGAGGCTATTTCTTAGGATCATTGAGGATTTGGGAGGCTGCTGTTGAGGTTCTTGTTCTAAATCTCTCTTACCTCTTATGAAAGCATCTGCATATTACGCTCTGCAGAATTTCTGTTCACACCTTCTGATTTCACCTCCAGAAATTTCTATGGTCTTAGTAAAGAGTGTAATGCTTCCTTAGATCATTCAGGCCTAACATAAGAATTTTTCAAAAGTGCAATCAGGTACTCCTGTCTAATTCCACAACCAGCCAGAACCTCTATGAACTTCTCTGTTTGACTGGAGGGGTCCCCAGAGCACGGAGTCATGCTTTTCTATGTGTTCAGACCTGGTTTGATCTTTTCAGGCTCATCAGCTACTACCATACTTTGGCTTCACCCCAGCCAGCTGCCAGAAAGTGACATTTCCCCATCTCAGTTCCTCTGAGCACTCGAGCTGTTTTATAGCTACCTTACAGCTCTCTTGAAGAGAGCTTTTAACACAGGGAGGTGGTAGCTACTGCTTTCTTTTCAAAACCAGCTGGAAGAGGAAATGGTAGGGATCTGATTTTGAAATAGCATTTACCTGAGAACCAACAAAATTTGACAATCCTCTTCTTTTACCTACAGGAACGTCTACTTAGAAAAATAGCCCAATCACCAAATTATACAGTTTGGGAAATCAATCTTCATTTCACCTCTTGAACAAAATCATGCTGAAAGGGAAAAAGAAAATTATAAAAGTGAGAGGGAATAAATCTGCACTGAAGTGTTAAAGAAATTCTATGCCTTGAAAGATACTCCAGCATGTTTCAACACCCCTATGTGGACTTTACAGAAGGAACCCTCTAGCAACTGTAGATACGCTTGTGCATTCTTCATCCCATCATTTTAGTCAGTGCCCAAAAAATAAACACTATGATACCAAAGAAGGTCATTACTGATTTTTAATCTCAAATATTTTAGGAATGCAAAAGCTGTTGCAAGTTATTGGCGCTGAATTTTCCTTGGCTGTTTTTGAATCCCACCTTTTGGGATGGCCTAACATGTATCTTGCTTGCATGCTTCCCGCTGGGATTTGTATCAGGTTTTAAACTATCCCTGGTGAGGACTGTGGATTGCTAATTGTCTGTGAAGTTCTTACTGTGTGAAGTTTCTGCCAGAATTGTTTCTATCTAAATAAGATTATCCAAGGATGGGTGCCGAATTCAGTTACTGAATCCTGAAGGAGGAGCTGCTAACGTTACCTCCTTCCGGCTGAGAAGTTAGAGACTCTTGCAAGATATATAGGATTGCTAATGGTCCAGGGGACAGTGACAACTTCAGTGGGATAAGCAGGTTTTAGATTGGTGAAGTAGCAGTGGGATTGCGGAACACATCTTTCTACTTCCATTTTTCAACGTGATTTTGGTTCACCTACCAATGTTTCTCCTTTTGTTTTCCCTCTATTTCACTTGTGGAAATTGAGCAGTTGGAAAACTACTTTCTGTGTGCTTCCAGTGGATGACCAAAAGTGAGGTTCTAGGTGAAGTAAATATAAAAATTCAGTGGCTTAGTTTTAATGAAAATATTAAAAATTAAAATATGTATCCATATCAGTAGGACCTTGATTTTGAATAGGGTGTGTTTTTTGGGGGAGTTGAGTTATACTGAATAGTTTAAGCAGTAGTGGATGCTACTGATGTGTTGCAACAATGCATTTGGCTGGCACATATTGGGTATGGGCTCACCATCAGTGTGTGACAGCGCTGAACGGTGTGATTAGGTGGCTTTGGAAGGGAAAAGAAGAGGACGAGTACTCCACGGTAATGCTCTCATCCCAGGACCAAGCCCATCCACCCATGGATGATGTCAGTCTTTTGTGACAAAAGTGGCACCAGAAACAGTACTGTAAGCTGCAACTTTCTTTCTTCAGACACTGAGCCTCCCTGTTACCTTTGGTGCAGTAGGGCTTACAAATATGGACATGGAGGTCGACCAAAGAAGGCTAAACAACTTCCAGGGAGTCAACGGCAAAGTGAGAAAGAGTATAACTTACACAGGCTTCTTTACATTATGTTGAGAGTCTTTGTTCCTATCCCCATTATATCTAGGTATTAAACACTGTTCTCTGCTGCATTCAGCTATGATCTTTTTCTTGTAAAGAAATAAACTATGTGAACGAGGTTGAAGACAAATTTTAAAATATTAAACGCTGTCCTTCTTCTCAAATCTAAATCTCATGTTAGTTGTTTACATACATAATTTAATAACTTGCATATATTTTTTATATATTATTCTGACAGTAGCAAGTGAAATCAGATTCAGGAAAAATATTCTGGTACATGGAATCTCAAAATACACATTTGCATTGGTAAGGTACTAATGTATATTTTGTAGGGCTTATATTGCTACTCATTGTGGTTAGTGGTTAGTATGACTATCATGTTTTTGGAGTATTACGTATCTGAGAAAATGTAATTTTTTTCTATTCCTTTTAAAATCAAATTACAATGTGACATTCAATAAAATATCTTTTGTGCAGCTAATAAAAATGAGATCCCATCTCACTGCTTTGACAAATAAACCACACAAGTCAAAATACTGCCTCTGATACAGTTTATAGCTTAAGCTTTCATGTCAGCCTTTCCTATAAAAAAGACCCATTATTTATTAATAGCCTTCTATGTCTTAAAAGTTTCTTTTTCTTGTGCGGAGAAAAAATCATTTGCCTTTTAATGGGGTGTCAGATTTGTTTTCCAAACCTTCTAAAAGGTTATCGTTGTTACATATGGACAAGTGCTTTTTTCAGAATCAATGTAAACTCTGTTACCAGGGTAATTTACTGCAGTCCCCTGGTAGCTGTACGGAAAACTTAATTTCACCATTTTGCAAAGTGGAGGGGTGGGACTCTTTCCTTGTGGTTAACTATTTTCACATGGAGTGAAAAGAAAATGCATGCTTCTAGCACATACTAAATAACTGATGGGCTCTTACCCCCTGTTTGAGTTCAGGGCACACTGGCAGTCTGGTAGGGTTCATGGCATAGAAGGATGACTGACTGAATTAGATATACCATAAAACCTTTTAGCAATTAACCCCCAACTAACCAAAAGATTTAGGCTAATACTAACAGTGGATAATAAAAGCTAGTTAAATTTCCATCCATTACCCACACACATACACACACAAATATCTGAGCCACATTTTTTATGACAGAGAAGTCTGTACAGAGGGAAGAATATTCTATGAAGGATCCAGAGGTGTCAGGTTTGAGTCTGTCTTGCAGTTTGAGTTGAGAAATGACATGAGACACAAGCAAATATCAAATTCAGGCTTGTGCATTTAATTAGAGCTTGCATTAGCAGCTGCAGTACTTTATTTTGAAAAAGGCAATAATAGCAGTATTTTTTCTCTAATAAACACTACTTAAAAAAAACTCCAAAACCAGAAACCACTAGGAACTACTTATGCCCTAAACAACATTTTTAGATTAAATTACTTTTTACTTGTAATTTCTATTAACTTGTTTAACTGCCTAAAATATTTGGGGATGCTACCTACATCTGCACAGAGAAGAGTGGGTTTCACAACAGACATCAGCTCTTTAAATGTGACATTTCATAATTTTTCCATGCACATTGGTGGCTGTTCAACAGACTGAAGACAGTTCACCACATCTGTGCTGTGCTTAAGAGGTGATCTCTGCTGGTGATCTCTGCTACTGGACTGAGGCACAGATGGCTCTCAACTTACTGAATTTTGAAGCTTGCACTTGTTCTGCACAGGGGAGGGAAATGCAGTGCAAAGCTCCTTCTGGATCTCAGCAAGAAAGATCTGTCAACAATTGGCATAATAAAAGAGCTGGTTTTATAAGGTAGAATAAAAAAGGGAATACAGATAATGGATAAATCTTATGTCACTTCAGATGCTGGGAACCCCATATTGATGCAGTGTTGACAGACCCCATATGGATTTTCTCATGGCATGTTGCACAGATGCCATCCATGGACTAGCATGATAATTCAAAGACTTCTATCCATCAATTAAATTTTGGAACAACCTTCTAATAGGTTGAGTAGGGAAAAAAATCCTAAACTATGAACTATGAGCTTTAATTAAGAGTATGACAGACCTTGGTAAATTCGTGGATGAGATTATGTAGCATCCATTGCCTGAATTCAGTGACCAACTGTGTCTTATGGCAGGTATTTTATGAAGAATTCTACCATAGGAAGTTTTTAGTAAGGCGTCATTTTTATACTAAAGAAAGGTTTTGTCAGACTGTCCTGGATCATTTTCAAATACTGAGACTGGGATCCAACATCGTCAATGCTTGTCTGGCTGTGCTCTCAGGAGGAATACCACCCACACAGATGCTAAGAGCTACTGAGAAACCTGCTGATGTTCACTTTTTGGCAGGCTCAGTCTGCTTCTCTTCTCCCTCAGAAAATCCTAAATGTAAGGTGAATTTGTGTATAATGACTTCGGAGCTTTGATTTCCAAGACCAGGAACATGTTTCTGGGGTTATTTTTGCCCTACCATCTTCAAACCCATGCTTTTGGGAGACACTATTACAGATTATTTATTAGTGCCATTGACAGGAGAAGGAAAGAACATGCCATGTGTCAGTCATCAAGCTCCTCTCTGGAAGCTTGAATTCTGGTCACTGTTTCTTTCACAATATACGAGTTTATATGGCATACTGCATAGTAGAGGTATTCAGTGCAGTTAAAACTAATTTTGGTATTAGTGAATCAGCGTAGACATCGTAGGGCAAAGCTGGAACTATGTACATTCACAGATAAACTTCTACTTCATCTAGCTCATGTAGAGACCACTTGGATGTTTGTACCTCACATTATAAGCTGAGTCTGTAGTCAGAAAAACCTGTGACTGTGCTGATAAAGCAGTAGGTCTCAGAGTATGAAGCTGTATTATAGTCAAGAAGCAGAATTTTGTCATATGGAGGCTGTCTGACTCTGTTTGGATCAGTGTTGTTGAAGTAGCAAGGTAATGATGCCGCAGCGTGTCCTTCAGTCATTGGACAAAAACCCCAGAATCAGTACAGACCTTGGGTCTTCCTTGTGGTAGGTATCCAAAGTGCATAAGACCTTGGCATAAAATAAAAACAGATCAAATCTGTTTTCACATGCTATCATTGCACCATCCAGCTACAACATGAACTTGTTCATAGTTTCATTCCCAGAATAATTTTATAAGTTATTTGTTGTTGGAGTCTGGACTTATTGCTCTTCCTCACCTTAATGTGAGCTAATGTGTGACTGTAGCGAGCCCAGAAAATAAAAAATATTTGAACATTCACTGGTTTATTCTTCTTCTCATGATTCAGGTACTACTGCAAAACTAAAGGCCACCATTGGACAGAGGTGCTGAAGGGTAAGTCTTTCTCTGGACCAGAGCTATCACACAGGCACTCCCGTCCTGCACAGGAGGTGTGAGGTGCTGAGCTATGCTCAGATCACACACAGACCCTGTGTGTTGGCCCAGCTAGTTATGACTAATGATAGAGTAGGACATCCTATATGTTGATGGCAATTTTCAGATAACTTAGCCTCTGAATTGAAATTATTTTCCAGTAAATATTAGCAAACAGATTTGTTACAAAACTGAATAATTTGTTCAAAAAGTGTAGGTTTTCTGATGGTGGCAAAAGATGATTTCCCAGCTGAGATGGCACTTCCTGACAAATATCATATTACTCTGCCAAAGCAGAGGGCTTGTCTGTGATACTGTTGTCATAATTAATACAGTGAACCCCAGTTTTTTTTCTTTAGAAACTCTTCGTCTTTAGAAATTATCCTTAAAATTCTAAATATTACTACTACTTCTTTTGTCACACTGTGGCAGTCATACAACATGAAACATTTTTGCTCAGACTATTAGAATTTGGCAAAGTTACAACATCTGAAAGTGAGGTCTCATAATGGGAAGTATTAAATAACTATAAATCACTGAGCAGCTCTATCTACATAAGCTCAGAAATATAGTTGTAAAAGCAGAAAAGCTCTCCTGAAATACAGCACTAGGTTTCCATGTGATTGTACTTTTTATCTGAGCTTACACTGGGGCAATGAAGTCATTGGAAGGTCAAGTGACCTCCCCAGGATCACTGACTGGTAGTCAGTGACCGAGACACTATCACAGCCTGTGGAAGTTCCTGGCTCTGAGAGAAGTACAAGGTAAGTGACACTAAGGTACATCTTTTCTCAGTTTCCATTATGTTTCTAATCTCTCTTCACTACAGTAATGAATGATAATGAGTTGCAATCTTTTCTCTAGGTTGCTCTTGCTGCTGCATCGGTGACACTTACTGTTACAATAAAGATATAAGTGGAGAAAAAAATTGTGCTAGGTGATATTAGGAATAAGCAAACCTAAATAACTTAGAAAAAGAACAGTGGTTGCAATAACTTCTTAGAAAGGACAGTCTTACTCAATGTGTCCGTGTCAGGCAGGTCACCCTCTCCTTCATCCAGAATTGAAAATACTGTGAAAAAAATTGACATGATTCAGTAACTTCTACTTTATGTAAGCAAGTCTTATTAATGAAAGGATAGAGACAGGTACATAGTTGACCTGATGATATTTTTCCTATGCAAAATCACAAACTCAGTTAACCCAGCACTAAGGATCAAGCTCTTGTTACGCAGTTGCACTTAGGTGCTGGTGAATATTAAGCATTTCAGACTCATAGAAAAACAATTTTCAAGGTTGTTCAGTGGTCGTAACTCAGGTCACTTTTTTTTGAAAGAGCTCAGCACTCAGCAAAACTTCTTCAAAAGGCAATAGACTTTCAACCCTGCTACGCACTCAGTGGCTCCCACTGGTCAGACTGTGCTCTGGAGGCTGTTGGGTGTTGCATCCTTTATCAAAGTCTGAGTGTGCACACTATACACTTTGCCTGAGAATAAAGGGAGTGAGGAGGAAGCAGGAAAGAACATTCAGCCGTCCTGTTTCTTTTTCTTCCTCTCCATCCTTCTCTTAGCCCCTATCTCTTTTTCCGCTGATACAGTACTTGCATCTCCAGCACAGTTCCAACCAGAAAGAAATAGCAGCTCTGAGCCAGAGCTGGAAAATACCATGGCAGAAGAGTGTGGGTAAGGGACAGTTTTGGGGAGACATGGACAAAAACTCAACAGTCAGCAATGTTGAGCCCTCTTGGTGCTAGTCTGGAAACATGTCCCATCCATGTGTTCTCGTAACAGTATTAGCCATGGTGGCAGCTGGTGAAAATTCAATAGCAATGGAATCCTTTGTGTATTTTAGCATGAGAATGTTCCATATGTTTGATGCTATCCCTTTAATCATCTTATGCAATGTTCATGATTTTGCTTTTCCTTGGTCTGCTGAAATACAATGTCTTGTTATTCTTCAGCTAGTTGTGTGTGTTTGTGTGTCTGTGTGTGTGTGCATGCAGTTCACTATAATTAGTTTATACTAGATTAGAATATTTTTTTTTCATCTCCAAATTATGATTTCCATTGTCATCATGCCTTTAATATCTTATTTTTGTAATTCATCTACTGGTTTCTTTTCTATGTAAAATTAGCATTAGATTCCTACAAGGGCACAAATGCAAAACCACTCACAAGCATAATAAGCCCTGTAAGGATTCATGAGTCTGATTGCTTAGAAGTCCTGGGTGTAAAGGAAAAGGGTATCTAAAAAATCATATGGTAGGGGAACCTGCACTGTCTGTAAACCTTGGAAACCCCATAGTATATGATGTGTGTGATGAGGTAAGGTGCAACTTGAGTTGCTCATGTTTATGTGACTCCTCCCATCTATATTGTCACTAAACCCATCTTCTTCCTAAAAAAACCATCTAACTTGCAGCTCTAGCAAACATTTTACCATGACTTCGGTTCAACTGTTGTGATGGTTCCTTCTGTGAATTGCCTTTTCTGCTAGATAAGGGGAGATATTATACTAAAATAATATTTTTTATATTTAGCTACTCATTTCCCAGGTCTCATTTGAGAACATCAGTCAGAAAGCCTATTATCTGTTTAAAAGACCCATTTATTACAGTCACTATTTTTCTCCTACCCTTTGGGTTAATAAAAAAAGTTTGAAATATATCTAAGATTTTAAACCTTTAGTTTGATAAAGTCTGTGTTATGAAGTAGGATTTTTCAGTGGCTCATTAAAGTAATTAAAGTTAACACTTCTAGTTTAAAGCATGCTAAAAGCTTTGAAATACCCATTCTCTCTCTCTCCATTCACATGTTATATAAAGCTTTACCTCTTATGAAATACCTTAAAAAATCTCTGTGGATGGTCTTGGTGGTTTCCATCATATCAGGGAGAGTCCCACCAAAGTGGCCATGCTGGTGAATCACGACCCTTAAAAGAGAGCCATGGTGAGAGTAGAATTGCTATTTTCCACACTTGAAATGCTTACTGCATCTGTTCTGTGGTGGTATACCAAATGTTTAAAACCTAAGAGAAAGAGATTGTGAAGGTTCTTCTTTTTTGAAGGACAGTTTCTGCTCTTACCATAGGAAGCAGGAAGCAGAACTGTCTAAATAATTCATTAGCTGAATTTTTATTGTTTCTCTGAATAATCTGTATAGCAACTTTTGATTTTCTTGAAGATGTTTGTTATTCTAAGTAGTTTAATGCTACCCTATTTCTGATCCTACAGATTTGTTTTGAGTATTTGATGCATACAAGTGGACCTTTGCTGGTTAATTTATCAGCTGCATCACATAATATTGTCCCTGTTTCTGTATGGAATAAGCATAATTCTTCAAATTGTGTATCTGCTGGGAATGCAGTGTGTCTGAATTCACAATTTGTATTCTCTGAGTATACTGTAGTATTCATTTAACATTAATTTTCCATGAATGTTTCATGTACCTTGTACTGGTTAATAACATGAAGACACTTTATGTATCCAAAACTCTTTTGTGATGTATTGGGGGAATTTGTAAAGCTGTTTTGACTACACTTCACTAGTAGTTTGCAAACGGAATTTTTCAAGTTGCTTCCAAACTCTTCTCTCTTGAACCCTGTTCTACATCCTCCATAGGCCATCATAATGTTGCTCTCAAAAATCATATTTAAAATGTAATGTCTTCTGAAAGTTGATGCAAAAAAGGGCAAAAAACTCATATTCTTCTCTATTTCGGGAGGCATTGGCCCAGCTAGGGTCAACAATTACTTGCTTACTCTAAGAAAAATTTATGAGAAAAATAAACCATAAGCTTTTATGCAAATGCTGCTTCTGACCCTTTCCAGGGATGACTTCTACTGCTTTTCTTCCAACATACTGGGTATGTTTATTTAGCTTCTATATACAAATATTAGGAGCTATAAAACAAGCCAATTCCTCTTTCTTTGTGTCTGAATTTAAGATCCATTCACTTATTTTCTCTCTCTTTCCCCCTCCCCCTTACAAGGGTTTTCCCTTTCCTGTAATCATACTGGTACAAAGGGCTTGAGAACCACTTCCCTCTCTGATTAAATTTAAGCAACAAGAGCTGCTGGATCTTGGGCTGGTAATGCTGGAATTGGCTGTCCATCACCCTCCCTCTCCATAAGCCCTTGGTACCTGGCAAGTGCCCTGAGATACTGCACACCTGTGGAGAAGGGGCAGGTTGAACCACCACCCTATACGTGTGTATATATATATACATATATATGTATATATATATGTATATACAGCAAACCCCCAACAGTGGTTTTCAACTATATTCTGAGGGATTGGGGCCTTTCAGGACTACCACTTTCCAAAAACATATCTTTGATGGGGCTGTCATCAGCCATCTGAGACAGCCCTTCTGGGAATGCCATCAGAGCGTGGCAGTTAAGCAGGTGTACAGAGTCTTTGAAGTACCTGTGGAAGCTCAGTATGAGGAGCTGGATAATTGCAAAGGCTCACAACACTTACACATTTTAGTTGCTTGTAAAGATAATTTCAATAGGCCTGCAAGTTATTCATTTATAGGGAAGTCTGGTGGCTGCAGAAATCCTAAATCACAGCACTGGCTTCCTGCTTGATGCTAATTTGGGCCAGTTCCAGCCAATGGAGTTCCTTTTCCATTGTGTCATTTAATTACACATTTACCCACACTTCTCAGCTAGTAAGAGCCTTAATATATGGCCTCTTAATCTAATACTGTTCTATTAAAAACTACACTCAGTATTTTAAAGTGTTAGACAACAGATGGAATTGACAGTTTTAATAGGTAGCAACTAACATCATCTCCCAATCTACACCTCTGTATTGGATTTCAAGCAACTGATATCACTGTGGACATGTGCAGATATGGAGCTTGCATTTAAAGGCAGAAATTCAATCAATAACCTGTCTCTCAACAAAGCTTACTAGATTATATCAGTTAGAAGTGACCATCTGGCCTAATCTTGGGAGTTCTGAGATATCATGTAGATCTTTTTCGCTAATGTCATTTTTATTTGGTTAACATTAATAAACCATAGCAAACATTGCAAATCTTGCAATCTGAAGCTGTAACTCAATTTTTGCCTTTAACATGAGACAAGTCAAACATCTGCTTCTCTAGGGGGAACGTGTGCGAGAGCCAGCAAAAGAAAGATGCGATCGCTCTGAAGATTTTACTGCCTTTCTAGGTGTTGTGAAATGATGAAAAGTGGCAGTCTTTTTTATTTACTAAAAGAAAAGTGTGTCACTAAAAGATATTCAACAACTAATGTGATTATTTCTGTGAATACAAAATATGAAGGGAAATATGTAGATAGCATTCTGGGGGTTAAAGTTTCAGAGTATTCTATGGCTGCTATAAAAGAAGAATGTACATTACATATTCATATACTAGATTTATGCTACAAATAAAGTCTAAGTTTTAATCTGGTACAGTCAATATATATCACATATCTGTGATCAGTCGTTTAACGCTGTCACAGCCAGAATGCATAAACTCTGAAAAGCCTTTTTTAATACCAGAGTTAAGAACATTCTCTTCCATTTCTTTGCTACATTAAATTTAATTTCAAATTCTATTTTGTGTTTGGCTGAGTACCAGCACCATTAGAAGTTCAGAAATGTTCTGTTCACAAAAAAGAAAAATAAACATCAGTGTCCCAGGTCTAATTATAACTTTGTACTTGTAAGTGGCACAATAGTGATTCAATTATGTAAATTATTGTCACTGAATTTTGATCTTGCAAAATAAAAAGCAGGACTGATTCCTAAATGGATCTAATGAAATCAACCCCCTTGAAATTCTGGAGATTCTTCTTTTTGGCTTTGTTCCATTGCTGATAAATTGAAATTTTTAAAATTTCAAACGGTGGAGTGCATCATGAATGCCCATAGGTAGGGAGGGGGAGAAGCAAAACAGGTGACATTGCTAAAAAGAAACAATGTCAGAAGAAACTGAAAAAAAAAAATATTTCGGAACTTCATTAAAGTAGTACCTCTTATTAGTACCTCTAATGGGGTCTTGTTTTAGGGTGCTTGGCACCCAGAAATCAAAGACATGTATCCTTCTCTGGACATTGGTACTCAGA